TGACGAGTCCGGGGCGTCTACCATGATGGTGTCTTCTTCTTGCTTCGTCGTAGCAGATGTGATGGCGACCCGTGAAGTGTCCACGCTGGCGTCTATCAAGTTCTCCAGCTCCTTCTGCATTGTGTCGTATGATTTGTTTGAGATTTCAGATTCCACTCGAAGAGCGGTTTCTAGTAGAGGCTGAACAGCCTTGAGGATGCGCTTGCCCAGTTTCCGCCGCTCTCGTATATCTGAGAAGTTTGTCTTTGCTGGAGAGGCATCCGTGGCCTCGAACCGCGACTCGCTACTATTGCTTGATGATGACGAGGGAGCATTGAGTATACCCGTGCTGATAACGTCGCCAAGATCTTGCGCAAATGTAAGAGTTGTTACATAGAATCTCTGGCCAACACGAGACTGCAGCTTCTCCAGCCCACTCGTGAACAGGTCTTTATCCAACCTTCAGATCAAAAATTAGTAACAGCAGCTTCTAGCGCCGAGGTGACAAACTTACGATATGGCCTTCTCAATCGCCAGAGGTAAGTGTTTAGCCACAGGAAAGTAGCACTCATTCACAAACTCATCCTCAATTTCAGCTGCATCCACCTTCATCTGTTCTCGTTGCACAATCTTCTCTGAAAGATCCTTCAATTGTTCAAGATCTTTGAGGATGCTTCCTGCAAATTCGATTCGCCGTGCAAGTCGTGCTTTGCCATTTGGACCCATCGTGGAGAAGTCTCGCCTAGTAAGCTCCATGGACGAAAAGGTCTCCATCTGTAGCTGAAGGCGTTTGAGCAATCCCGCGCCCCGACGAGCTTCTCGCTTCAGTGTCCAGTAACGGCAAGCCTCACTCAAGAAGTCCTTGCGCTTACGAAAAGGAAATCGTTGAATGGAGGCCTCGACAATGTCAAACACAGCTTGCGGGATAATGGGGGCACCAGAAGGTAGCTTCCACATATTCTTGGGCGGTTGCTCATTCTTTTTCTTTTCCGAAGCGGCCTTTTCCTTGTCACCCTGCGCGCTCTCGGGTGTTTCCGCCAGTAGGTTGCGTTGCTGTGCTGCGATAACATTGGCAATAGCCAAGTTATCAGCCCAAATACGGCCCTTCATGTTTCTCTTGTAGAACTTCTTTGCCGAACGCGTCGCTTGGTGGACGTTGTTTTCCTTGCTGAATTCCAACGGACAGTGCTTATCGCAGAAAGCTTTGAGGACCATGCTTCCATCCAAGACTGCAAGAGCGCCGTGGCTAGTTTTCATTTTGAGATACAGGCGTGCTCGTCTCGCGCATGTTACATGGAATGCTTGATAGCAATTCTTGTTGGAGCATTGAATGCACGCACCCATCTTCTGTCGACAGATGTAGCAAGATAGCTTCCACCTAGTTTTGGGCACCTTTTCGACGTCCATTACCGGCTCCATGAATGTGTGATTCCCGAGCGAAACCTCTGGAACCCACATGGCGCAGAGCAAATGCGCCCATTTTGAAGAGTTGGTCTGCTTGAAAGCACCATCTGTGTTGGGGCAAAAGATGCACGTCTATGGTTGTTAGCCGAAACTTATCAAACACATGTACAGCTGTTGAAACTTACGGGAATGCCTCGGCCGCAAAGCTGACATTTGCGGCAGAGCCATTGGCCTTCGGGAATAAAAGGTACGCCGTAGCATTCTTGATGAACGGCAAGATTGCAACCATCGCAAAAGACAATGGCATTTGTGTTTTCACAATCTCCGTCATCACATATGGCACACTTACTATCCGGTTCCTCCCCAGATTGAGTCTCGCCATTCACCGCGGCAGCAGAGCTCGACCTAGGGCGATGCGTCTGCGGTGGCTTGGGATTTGGCTTCGGTATTCTCTTTTCCAAGGCGTGCCACTCCTTCTCAATTTTCGTTATCGTAATTTCAAAGACTTCTCTCGTGATTGTTTCCAGCTCATTCTGCTTTCGCAAGGTATTCAAGTGTTCCAACCACATATCATCTTGTTCATCCATGTCGTATTCCACTTTACCCAATTTCGTGTGATGAGGGTGATCCTCGCTGCTATTCACAGGTGTGAGCTCGAGGTCCTCCTCCGCATTTGTATCAATGGCCTTGATTAATGTTGAGTCAGGACGAATGAACTGGTCACTCTCCTGATAGCCGACATTGCTCATTGCCTTGTCTACGTATCTTGCCTGACCAAAGGTCTTGCTCTCAAATAATTCAATCCGATTTGTCCGGCGATATGATGGCAGTTTCAGATCTAGCCTTTCCTTTGGTGTTTGGTTATGTATAGGTAATATTTTGGGCGTGCGGGGTGTCGGTGCAAGATCCGAAGTCCGGGCATTGTAAAAGCTGACGACTTCGCGCGTCGGCCGACGTGACCGTCTTGACGGAGTCCCAGCTTGAGTGTCTGATGCATTTGCGTCCGGCTTCCCTTGAGGATTCGGCGTAGTACCTGTGGACGCTGCGTTGATCTGTCTTGAGGGAGTCATGGACCCATTTGCCAGCGGCGTTCCTGGCGTTTGCAAAGCGGGTGTACCGGGAGTATCTCGCGCAACACCATCGACCTCGTCTGCTGAGAAGACCATGAAGGTCTTTTCAATATCCAGGTTCGGATGAAACTCCTCCCAGCTTCGCTCCTCTCGCGGTTTGTAGTCTTCGGCCTGCTTGACCGATGCTGCCACGGCAGCGGCCGACCCCCATCGCATTTCCTCGAGCTCTTCGCTTGCAGAGGCGCGAGACCTAGTACTCCTCTCTCGTCGGGGCATCACAGAAGGTGACTTGCCATTGATGGCGCTTCGCACAGCGGTTGTCCTCGACCTAGGAGCAGAAGTCGTCACTTGTATCTCCAAGTCATCCGTTTCTACAAATCTACCACCTCCACCAGGCCCTCCGGGCACATAACGACGTTTCTTAGGCGGCGGTTCTGTCGCAGACGTAACAGTCAAGGCCTGTCTCGCTGCGCGCGCTGCGTTTGTCGATCCGAGCGGACGGCCTCGGGGACGTCCCGAAGGTGTCCTTCTCGGTGATGGCGAGGACGGAGCCATGTATGGGGACGCGCTCCAAGGCTCCTGAGCACGAGTCAATGTATTCTCTCGATAATCGTGAGTCAATTTTGGCCTTCGTACGTAGGTTTCCGTGCTGCAAAGTCAATCCAGGGGGTTGTGATGCGCGCGACCTTGTCAAGGGGCAGGGGCGGGGTAGGCGTTCATTTCAAAGCCCCCGTGCAGACACGGCAGGGCACAAGGTCGCATACGTCAGGGCAAGTAGCCGAAAGAGAGACCTCGTCGCAGCACAGAGAATGAAAACCACAGAGGCATTAGCAGTCCGTCGTGACGTCGGGGGTTCTCAATCTCCGCAGGAGCGAAAAACAGACAACGCGTGAAGTCGCAAACGCACGGACCATTTTGCCCCCCGACCTGCTCAGGACCTCAAGCGCCCTTTCTGATGGCCCCATGGCTTCTTCCGGTTAGTACGGAGTAGTGCCTTCGTCAACTCCACCTTCACACGTGTTAGTCAGCAGCGCCGAGCTGCGCTTGGCTGTTTTCGGTCAAGACCCGCCGGCGCAGCTGCATCCTGCATCTGGGGAAGAAGCGAGGAATTGTGGTTCTTGGAAAATCGGCATGGCATTGAAGTGCTATTTTGAGAGCCATGGTTCGGCGTGGTTTGCTAAGGATATTGTTCCTAGGCTGAAGATTGTTATGGTTCACTCTGACGCCAAGAAGCGCCTCACCTTGCCCGACCTTCAGCGTACATGTGCCACCCGTTCATTGTTGCTCGCATATGGAGTACGGAGTAGATTACATCCAACACATTGCAAATAAGCATGATGCCCATTGACACCTTACACAGTCTCTCAAACACCGGTGGCAGGATCGCACAAATCAACTTGCGTCATTCTCAGTGGTCCTATCAATAAGTCTCATTCACCCGTCTTCCATCCCATCTTCAGCCCCCTGGTCAGATGCAGCTGCCTTTGAGAAGTCGATAAGCTTCCCGTGCCCTTGTTGATCGGTTCATGCTGTACGGAGTAGCGTAGCGTCGCCATGGCATTTCCCGACCACAGTCGCTTAGTTTTGACCTGACCTGGTGTGGGCACTTAAGTATGTAAAAAGGCGGTCGCAAAGGCGGTCATGGTTCGAGCCCCATTCGAGCTCGGTCTCTTCCGCACCGCTAGTAAATAGGCCTTCTTGTGGCTTGGAGCCTTGCAGGAAGGTCACTGGATCCCGAATGGCTGGCCAGGGTCTCGATTTTAACACTTGACTCCAGCTTTCAATTGCGGGACAACCATGCGAGCATGCTTCACACACGGTACCAGTAACTACGCGCCCGAATGAGTAAGAGACACCATGGATACCGGCCCATGATTTCCTCTATTAGTCGACCACGATAGTCTGTCGCCTATCTGGAAATCAAAATAGTAGTCGGGTGGCGGACACCTTGAGGCGGGAAAAACAGAGACATTAACAACAGCAACCATGTATCCCTATGGTGCCATGTCCAAAACCAAAAATACAGGCGTTCCACTCTAAAGCCATGGCATACGGGACCATGTAGAAAATCAAAACATTAAACGATGCAGCCACCCCCCATGCAGTCCATTTTTTTGTCCTTGCATACAAAGAAAGGCATCAACTCATGCAGCCTTCACAAGGCGATGCAATTTCATACAGCCTTGACTAACGGCGGCAAACAAGACTGGGTGAAAGAAAAGCGGAGAGAGATCAAACAGCCATCTTGGGAAACAAATCAAAACGCCACTATCGCTATGCTCCCTACAACCACTCCGTAAATCGTAAAATCAATCTTAAGGACCAAACAACGCAAAAAGGGCAACCCCAGGTGATATATGACAGCGTGTAGAGCAGCTGGTGTATTAGCACCTTGCGCACTAATCAATAAGACCAGAGTTGACCCAACTCCGGCCGCAATACAAAATTTGTGAAGAGGGTATATGTTCGTGGGTATCAATCGAGGGGGGTATCAAAATAGCAGCCACATCAGAGTGGCGTAATCTTTGGGATGAATACTTTTACAGCTCAGCCCATCGTGCGGCCGCTGTGGATTGGTTGAGCTTGAGACACGTGGTGAGACACATGTCCCGTCCGTAAAGTTGCAACAGATGGAACGCCAGACGACAGGAATGGATTGTTGGTGCCATCCCAGCTCTCTTCGCTCAAGACACTGAGATAGCCGCTACCAACCCTATCGCGAAGGGCTTCAATTCTTCGGCGATACATCTCACCACCCGCATCCCAGTCTTCAGATGCTCTTGGCTCATTTGTAGTACTATTCGAGTCATACGAAGATGGTGTGGGGGGAAGTGGCTTGTTGGTGCTGCCCGAAGCACCAGTAGCCCGAGCCACAGAAGAAGCAGAAGGAAGTAACGTCTTCCCGCTGTCCGTCAATATGACGGGCGGAAGCAAGGATTTATCAGGCTGCCTGGTAATGCGGTAGTTCCCGGCCTCAATCTCGGTTACTGCCACGGAATCCTCCGTCAATGATTCCGTCGGCGTAGTCGTTGACCCGCTATCACCAGTTGCAAGATCAACTATGCGTCTCTTTGATACTTTCCGACGCCGGGAAGAGTTGATGTTGACTTCACTAGTGACTGCTTTGGCCACCGGGCGCTCTTGGCGCAGAACAGAAGCCTCCTTGGGCAAGTTGTAGACAATGGTAGGTTTGCTAACATCGACAACAGCAGGTGAGTCTGAGGCCATAGGCTTGACTACCGGTACCGAGTCGGGAATAGGGGCACGCTCTATCAATAGACGCTTTTCAGAGTAGCTCGGTCCGTAACCGTCGATGATAATATCCTCTGTACAGCCTGGAGCAGATCGGAAGATGTTGAATATAGTTACTCGGTAATCCTTGTGAGTTCTGGTGAAGGGGTTACCATCGAGCCAAATTTCTCGAATGTCAGGTATGCCAGTCAGTCTTGCAAGCTCTAGTGGATCAGAAAGACGATTGTCTCGGAGGTCAAGCCGTTCCAGTGGGTATAACTTCTCAACTCCTGCTAAAGACTGTAGTCGATTCGCCCTAAGGTTAAGGGCCGTGATAGCAGGGAGTGGATTGCGAGTAAGGGATTGGAGTGAGTCGATCATGCAGTGGGAAAGGTTCAGCGCACGTAAAGCGGTGAGAGAGGCCAAGCTGTCAGGAATTTGGCTGAAAAGATTAGACGACAAGTCGAGAGAGTAAAGGGTGTTTGAAAGAGGAGCCAAGCTAGAAGGGGGGATCGATGTCATGGCATTGTCAGCGAGGCTAAGGTGTCGAAGAAAGCGCCATTTAGACGCTGGCAAGATCCCCATAGCCAAGAGGTTGCTCGAACTGCCCCTTGCATGATGATGCCAAGATTCGGAGAGGCTCGAATGAGAACTGCCTGATCCGGAGCGTTTGATACGCTGTTGAGACGATCTTACTTGAGTAGAGTGGTTTCTTGAACTTGCAGGGCGAGAAGGAGAAATGCTTCGAGGCCGAGGAACTTTACAAGGGGAGCGAGGGACGTCATCAGTATCATCACGGGAGATCGAGGGCCTAGCGGTATCCGAGCTCTCACTGTCCTCCAAAACCGGCTCGCTCGGTGTCATTGATCCACGGCGAAGCTCAGCGAGGAGGGTTCTGTGCTCAGGTGATCCTGGAGCAGATGCGGCTCTAACAAGCTCCGGAGGCATGGTGGGGCTTCGTCGAGGGCTATTGGTGCCGACAGCCCAAGTCGTGGTTGGCGATGATTGTGACTTGGAAGTGCGACGACGCCTCTTGTCCATATCATCCAATACAATGTCTATCAAAATGTCTGCTGGGTCCTCAATGCCGGCGTGCCTCAGGCTAAGAGACCGTAGTTGGTCTGCAAGACGGTCCCAACCAAAGAATTGACGAAAGTCAATGCTGTTGATTTCAAGAGCTTGCAAGTTCTTGAAGACGTAAATCGGCACGGCGGAGTCGAAAGGGAACTCCTCGTATCCGCTGATCAAACGCGCTCGCCAGTCCGGAGCTAGTCGCAAGCAAGGAATCTTGGTGAAGGCAGAGTACAGGTACTTCAGATCAGCCTGAAGGGCCGCTTTTTGGCGCTCGGTTCTGGCGGCAGATATACTGGCGCCAATACCCAGGCTATTCCACAACGCGGACATGCCAGACATGACGCTTCGCATGCTAGAGACAGAGTGTATTGAGCCTACGTCGGAACTGTGGCTACGGGCTCTCTGCGAGTTGCCGAGAAATGAAACATAGTTGGTGGATGATGAACTATCGTGTAGGTTTTCCAACCGTACTTTCATAGGTCCAACATTAATCCCAAGTTCCTCGAAGCGGGAAAGAAGGAAGAATAGGTGGTGGGGGGTAAGAGCCAGCTTCGCGGACTTGACATTATGTGAGGTGAAGTTCAGAGCTCCCAATGAAAACGCCGCTGCTAAAGAGCTTGTTGTGGAGGAGGATGTAGAAGGTCGGTCTGGCAAGGTCGGGGATGGAGGGATCGTTGCCGCGCTGGTGCTCTGGGACGATCGATGGCGAACCTCGCGACGCTGGAACTGCAAGGCATTGGCCAGGGCCTTTTCGTGGGCGCGCACAAAGGCAGCCAGTTGCTGGTATAACGGTTAGTGTTTAGTTCTAGGAATCCGCAACGACCGAGCAGTCAGCCACGCAGGCTGGGATAGTAGTAGACTTGCCTTTATGAAATGGTCTCCGTCTTCAGAATCCATGTCTATGGTCTATCTATGCATCGGACGATGGTGCAGCAAAACTTCTGTATTGACAACAGAAAAGAGTGGCAGAGGGTCTTTACAGAAGGAGTGCAAGCAAAAAACCGTCACCGAGGTTATTTCTTTAGCAACTCCACGAACCGTTCAAAGCTACCTCAATAGATTTTCTGATCGGAGCCAACCTGGATGCCAAAGGCAGGTTAGCGATGAGGAACAAACAACCAGCCGTCACAATCCAGCCAAGCAGAAGGATGATTCAGGAATATTCTTGAGCACATTCTCTGCGTGGATATGGAGGGGAAAAGCAAAGGACCTTGTCAAGGTCTCAGAATGCTGGAAAAGACCTGTGAAAGCATAGCAATTTCCCCTATCTCAGACACTGGAACAATGACAGCGACAATATTGCTGATACATTCACAAGACACGAGAAATTCCCAAAGCACTTGACCAGTGTAATAATTATGGTTGGGACGGTATTGTCTCGAACAAATAGAGAGACGCACAGAATGGGTGTTGCACGAGTTCGGGAGCGGGAAAAAAATGTTGACGTAAAAGCGAGGCAGCGAGAACTCAGAGTCGCCCGCCACGACGACAAAATCAAAAGAACAAGCCAATGTTGAGAAGTAGTGAAGGATTAGGGATTCGGATGCACTTTGAACCAGGAAGAAAATTTGCAATCAGGTCGAGAAGCGAAGAAGTCGTGACAAGCCGGCAGGCGGAGAGCGCAAGGCTAAGGCTGGACAAGGACGAGGCGACGATAACAACAACAACAACAAAGACTTGGCAAGTTGACTCACCTTGCAATAATCAAGCCGCTGTGGATGTCTTGAAAAATGCCTCCTCAAAAAAAACAAAAGGAGGACGCCGGTTCTCAAAAGAAGAAGAGAAAGGACTCGAAGCTATCACCAGCCTCGAAAATACGCACAGGATGATCAGCAACGTCGATGCAAGCCCGTTTTCCTCCCAAGGTTGCACAGAGAAGAGAAGGAGGAGAGTCGAAACAAGCGCAGGACGACAAGAAGAGAAGAAAGGGTCCAACGTCTTGATGAAGGAGGGGCCCCCTGCTAAAAGTGGCTGTTGATGAGCGCACATGCAGGTGGGCGCGGTTGTGCGTGTGCCAGTGTGCCAGTCAAGTGTGCCAGGGCGCTTGGCGAGTGCTGAGTAACATCAACTGATGGGCAGGGGGGCGTGCCAGTGGGAAAATATGCAACAGATGCCGGCTTCAACTTGACTTGAGCCCTGCCAGCCGAGATGTGACAGTCAGGCTTCCCATTATGTATGTACTCCGTACGTACAGCATGAGCATGTTATTATACCATGTTGCGGCCATGGGACCAGACCACGCCAGTCCAGTCCAGTCCAGTCACATTACGGAGTAGTCAAGACAGATAGTAGTACAACTCGACCGTAGTTATCTGCCGCAATCAAGGCTTTAATGTGACACACACCAACCAGACTCTCCGACTACCACGGCAGTCCCCGGAAGCATCACCATCTCATCAAACGCCAACATCCGCATCACCATCACAAGTTGAGCCCGTCGGTCGTCTGTATCAGCACCGACCACCGTCCGCCTGCGCCGCGACTCACGCAATCAAATCACACAACACCGTTCAAACCATGCGACTGGGGCTGGCGCCGCTAGTGGCCGATGTGGGTTTCCTGGTGCCAAACGCAATTCCATGGCCGCCAGTGATGCATCTCGACTGGCATCAACCCTGGTCACCAGGCGATCAAGTGGCGTCCTGCTGATTGGGGCGTCGTTGGACCCTCGCTGCTAATCCCGGCGATACCATACATGGGCGCTGTGTCTTACTCGTTCTATCCTGGCAAGGCTCAGCAGTAGGTCACCATTCGGCCCATGGCCAAGGATGGTGGTTCATGGCAACGAGGAAAAAAAGTGTGTGCTCGAGATACACCTAGAGATGCGCCGGAGATGCTTGAGAGGGAACTTTAAGAAAAATATCGCCAAGACCAAGGACGCCCGACACAGGAAGCAGCTAGCGGATACCACCAGACAGATAATCACCCAGCGACTCCGTAGACTTCGAGGCCACCCGAACATCCCAGATGCCTCAGTGCCGTCCACCACCACACACCAGCATCCACTTATCCATGTCCCATGCCCATCAGATTGTTTTCAATTGTGGCGACCGAGACCCTCATGGCCCAAGCTTACCCATGTTTCTTCCCTGCGTGATCCAGCCAGTCATCCAGCCCGTCATCCACGCTTCTGTCTCTCATGACGACCAAAACACATTGGTCTCAAACCACCCATTCATCTACGACGATATGTCTCTCATGTGGGCTTTCGCTGTTGTATCTGAATCATCGAGCTCCAGCCCCGCCTTATTCGGATTGAAATTCAATGGCATCTCTAACACCACAATGGATGCTGTATCTCGCGCCACGAGTAAATAGTGCGCACTCGCAAGCAGACGTTGAAAGGATGGGAAATAATAGTTTTTTTTTTTTTAAAAAAAAAAAAAAAAGGACAAAAGCTCACTCAGTCCAGCGCATGGGGCCAATGGTCAGCGTCTGCATTAGCTCCTACACCTGCTAGAATAGTAAGAGTCAGTCATTCATTGAATGGAGTAAAGAGATAGACAAATGTGTCGGCATGGCAGACACAATTAATAAACCATCAACGGCACTCACTTCTCCGTTTGCGCCTGCCATCACGGACTGAGAGGTACGCCGTACGCTTCACCCCGTAGATTGTTATTTGTCGTGCTCGATTGCTCCTTCCTAAGTCTTCTCCAACTGCCCACCGCCAGGGCATTTATAACATATGCTCTGCTTGCGCGGCTTCAGACCCGTCAACTACGGAGTACAATTCTTCTCCTTGCACCTTCAAGACAGAGCGCCGCCCCCTATACATAGTTACCATCCGGACTCTCTCCCACCCGCGTCTCGTGCAATGGAGCGCCAGGTGGTGTGGACACCATTACGACTGGCCTCGACTGGGTAACTTATTACTCCAGAAACTGAACTTTGTCAATCCGGGGTGGGCGTCGCAAAGAAGGGGGAGGAGAGGCTGTACTTCGAAACACAGCCATGGCGCCTCCGTTTCGGCCGCAAATGGCATCGACAGGACGAAATTTACCTGATACTAGTCGCAACTCTACACTGACCACCTGGGCATGGCACGTCGACAAAGCACATGAACGACAGATGCAAACCGATGGTTCCGAGTCTTCTGCTAATTCCTATTCCAGAAACGCGCCACAAACATGTTCAATTCAGTCGATGCTGGTGGTTACGGACGCCTCCCCGAGTTCTCGGCGAGCCATACTGAACTCCTCCTACAAACAGGCGTTGTTGGTTCCCTGCACTCGACAGGGTCGTTATCCTCGAAGCCCCAGCGACACGTCATTGGCTATGTGGGCAAACGACGTTTGCTTCTGTGGAGATGACGGCATGGGTGGGTAGAGCAAGTCTACCATCGAATATGAAATCCATGCAATGCAATGCAGTGCAATGCGGTGCAGCATACCTGGCGCCTACAATAAGGATCAAAAGTGATTAATTATGCTTTTTTCGAGTTCGACACACGGTTTAAGCCCCCCAGAATTAGGATATTGTACACCTAGTCTGCGAAGGTAGCCCGCGAAAGCTTATTGAAGACAAGTCGAACCGAGTTTGGTTGGCGCTTTTGCAACTGCAGGTTTTATCCAGGCCCCTCGACGATCTATACTCTCTGTGCCTCTGATATCCAATGGCATGGCATTTCAAGGCCCTATTTGCTTCCCAGTGAGGTCAAAGTGGTCTGGAAGAGCGTTAACTCCCTATCTGAAGGTTTGTGTTTCATTCCTTTCCCCGCATCGATCGAGATAACCACGTTTTAGTGAAAAAAAAAAGTCAATACCCGTGCTAGAGTAGTTTCATACCAGAGAGTGCACTGGTATGCGGCGAACTTGGCAACGATATGACGTTGTTTACATACTGCCTTGCACTCCGTACCCCTACCATGGACCACTCGGCACCGCCTGTAGAATTAGGTGCTCAATGACCTCCTATCGCGAAATCCATTTCACCGTGCTGTGTTACAATACCTCTTGGCTCGTGGCATGACATACTCTACAGTCATCGACTTTGCTTCTTCTGGCGGCGAAACACGGTACGTCTGGTGGTTTCGAAACATTGTCTCGCAGAAAAGTTACCATTTTTTGGCTGCTTGGACACGGCATGGCCGTAGAGAAGAGTGACCACCCAGCCTCGACAAAGACGACTAGGTGGCTGGACTGTTGTAAGAATAGAGCAAAGTAACGTCGTTAGTACTAAATCCGTGCGTACCAGTTCTTCGGGTCGGGCAGTCGCTCTCTAGCCAGATTGATTGACAGAGCACGATGTCACAGATTACCACCCCCTGCCTGTGAGAATTCGAGATGGCAAAACGAGCCTGGGACTGGTTGGCTAGGAAATTGTTGTCTGTACCGCCAAGGGTTCAACCTTAGCTGATACCGCTAAAATTGTACCACCAGACCCTCGCTCATCTTAGCGCCCCAGGTTAGGTCCATCTTGATCAGGGATGTCGACATTCGAAAATGCAAATGACGTGTGACCCAAAAAAAAACATACACTCACACACACACACACATCACCACGAGCCTACATCAGAACCTTGGTACATTCACACGTTGTTCGGATTCCTTGTTGGAATCGTGGACAGGCCGTAGAGGCCTCAGTTACCATTGATTCCCGGTTCGGTGTTTGGTCTTGGTTTAGAACCAACTACGCGACTAGGGCTAACCTTGGAATTCACAGCTGAAGCGAAACGTTGCTAACGTTGCTGGCGTTGCGGCACTTACACGGCATACCGAGGACCCCGTACGGAGCACAACAGAGAGGATCTCACCACCATAACCAGCAGTCTACGGCATATCCAACTTGCCAACCACTCACCACCGACCATGCGCCATTGTTTGTGTCATCTTGCATCCAGTAGCTTCGCAGTACCCACAGCAAGCTGTACTCGTCCTGCTAACATCTGAGCCGCCGAGGCTCCCCCCGGTTGGTACATGCTCATTCTCAGACCATTCACAGCTGCTGCATTGGCCTACTCTGTGTCATACTGGGCAATAGTAGTTTGTGTTAAATAGCTGACACCGGCCAGTTGGCATTGGGCCAATATAAAAGACCAGTGGAGGACCCCAGCCAAATGTTCACGCCCCCGTTGATCGCAGTACTCCATATAGAGCCAGATTGTTGGATTCGGTTCTCTTTGGTTGCCAAGCCCTGGTCATGGAGTTGTGACATATGCCATGGCCCTCTTAATGCTTATACTAGTCAATGCCGTGATTCACCGGTTCACCACCCGGCCCTTAATACTTACTCGCGCCTGTTTGGCATGCCGAATAACAACATCATTGCCATATATTATGCAAAGAGCACCCAGGCCATCGATAGATGACACGAGGGAGCTGTCACTTCATGCAGGGCCGGCAGTGAAGCCTGCCTTGCCCTGTCGCAAATACATCCAGGGATCGCGTCGGAGTATTGTACACATGTCAGTTGAGACGAAAGGCCGCACACCTTGATCGCCAGCTAAGGTGTTGGATGGCCTTTTCAAGATGGCTCTGATCGAATGACAATCCTGTTCCCACTGCTGCTCGTTTGATTCTGGCCAGTCAGATCGTACATACATGGCATGCATGTACGGACCACCCCCGCCATGGTCAAACCTCCACCGCCATTCTCGCCATGCATGGGATTGGCCTCTAAACGGCAGCGCGCCTTATCTTTTTTTTTACAAGTCATTATTTCGGGCCATGCTCATAGTATTCGTCTTGCTTCGTTTGCATTCGTCCTGTCGAACATGAACGCTCGTTGTTGCCAGATATTGTTGCAGACTTGCCAAGTATGACTGATCTCCGTTTCACAAATGACGACCATCATGTACTCCGTCCGTACCACCCAGGCGCATCTCGGACAAGGGGGCATTGCTTGCTCTCGAAGCTGATGCCTATGCCATAGTATCCCACTGGCTATCCGGGGGATTTCAGTCAACTTGTCATTGCAGTTCTGCACACTAGCTGTGATGAAGGCAGGAGATATGGGATTGGTGAAGCGAAAAAGGTGGAAAGAAAAAATGAATAATGTTGTGCTGCCGAGCCATACCAACATTTCAGGCCGTCATTCCCGACAAATAGCATCAGCCTTATTGCCCAACAACATCCTATTAGTCCGTTCGGTTCACCAGTACGGACCCCCTCGTGTCTGGACCACCACTGCAATGACGAGGACGCCCTGATAACACACAAGAGGACTGACTTTCTTCCACGGAAACCAGTCGACACCAAGCGATATGATTTCCTGGAGAATGTACGTCATGGAAGGATGCTGTAGTTGTACAATTATCAATAGCTGGTCCGCAGAGGACTGAGCACGTAATGACCGCGACACAACAGACCTTCTTTACCTGGAGGACATGATTCGTACCAGCTTCAGATGTCACGAATGAAGTCGACTGTCGGTGCTTGACCCCGCCACCACGATTGACTGGCGTTCCATCTGAGGGTCTCAAGTGCTCCTTGTGCGATGATGATATCCGCCGCCAAGAAGTCCATCCTACCCAGCGGCTTGACATTTGATACACAGCTACACGGCTACACGGCTACACGGCTGCACGGCTGCACGGCTACACAGCGAACGCGCCTTCTGCCCACTAAGGAACATCCAAGGGTCTCGTCGGCGGAATCGAGGTTTTCAGTTGGTAGTCACGGAACATCAAACTCGAGGGCAGCATTGCTTGGCAAAGCCTGGTGGTATCTGCGTCTTCGGCACCAACTTCTCCACGTTGGACATCTGGCTACGTCGGTTGGCCTTGGCAAAGAGCACAATATCTTCAGCTCATGCCGCCCAAACCTCCGTCATATGTTCACGACCGGAGGCGGAGGGGACCAAGGTGGGCCATCCACTGCCACCAGTTCGCCCTCGGCATATGTACGGAGTTGACTCGTCTTGGTCGTTGACAAGTCATGTACGGGCTATAATTGTAATGTGTGCACATACGGAGTACTATGTATACTGCCTTGGTGCGGACTTGAATGTAGTTTATGGAATAGCGTCAACCGCGGCCGCGCCACTGGCGGTTGTTCCAGAAATACACCATATCTGGCCGACCAAGTTGCCAAACACGGATATTATCCGCACACCACATGACGCTGGGCCGTACACACATTCCTTGTCGCGAGAATGGGAGAATGGGGATCCCACACCCACGGTCTGAAGCCCTTCGCTTATTTGACTTTCCCAGCGTCTTGGGTTGCGCGAGCCCGGATCCGAGTGGCGCCACTCACCGCCTGGAGCAAGCCGTTGGAGGCTGAGGGGGGGGCCTCCCTAGTCCCGTCTTTTGTCGTTCATCTTGGCAAGTTGCACCTGTTGCGTCTGCACGTCTGTTTCGTTGCGCGTCTTGGCCCCTTGGGATGCACGTACTCGCTCGCCTGCACATAACTGCCTAGGCAAGTACCTATAGGCCATGTGCGTGTTACCGGCACACGGGGCATAGGGATAGAGCAGTTGACACACAGACGGTGCTGCAGATGGCGCCATGACCGCATTCCCCTGCCACTCCGTCCAACGACGACGCTATCGGGTAGCACAAGGGTTTGCTGCACGATGATGAAGTTGGCAGTTGTCAATCTCCAGACCAGATGGGCCCTTACTTCGGCGGCAGGTGTCGAGGAACTGTCATGGCCTCGCACCTTGACGGTGATTTTTATTTTCTCCTCCTTGGCCATTGAACAATGACTTCATTTGTTTTATATCATTCTTACCGCCACCACGGCACTCTGTGTTGTGCCTTCATCGGCTAGCATTGACGTCCAGCGAAGCCTACTGCCCCGAGGCCAAAGTTTAAACACGTTAGGACTTCCCTGTTTAACCGGCAACTCCGCCGTCGGTGGTGAGTTTGGGTACTGCACATATATCCAATAAGCGGGTTTAGTTGCTGTCGCCTTTGTGCAGGATTTTGGCCACTCTGGGACCTATCGCATTGTATACATGGCCTCCCCTGGGCTTTACTGGCTTGCGAAACGGTTCGGCGATCGTTGCCGTCGTCGGAAGTAAAAAGAGATGGTTGCTAGTCACACAGCACTTAACAAGTCGCTTTTATATCTTGGCCGGGTGCCGGGATCATCGTTCATGGCTTGTGGGGAGTTTTGCACCCATTTTCCGTCTCAGCGGTCAAGTGGTGGTTCGTCCGTCATGGGCTCGGAGGTTGAGTGCTTGAGACCGGCCGTGGATGTCGGCAGATGAACTGACTACAGTAGAGTGAGCGATGACGTGAAGTTGCGCTTTTGTGGACTCGGTCAGGGCGGTGAATAAAACCCACATTGCCGTGTTATTGATTGCTTCGCCCATAATGCATTGATTTTTTGCCCCAGCTGGGTAAGCACCAGAGAATCGTGAGCATTTTGGTCATGACGGCATGATTTCAAGATGAATTTAGCGACATGGTTATGTACTGTCAAATTTTTGTTTTTTTTTTTTCCATCGCGTGACACCGTAGGTGTATACCAACCTTCTCCCACCCCCGCGGACACGTCGAATCTACAATGGTGCCCAAGCGAGAATTATCTTACAGTACTGTACAAATTGGTACATGCAAAAGTCTCCATAGTCGCCAGTCAATGGCCGGTTAAAAAAAAAAAAGGCCATTGTACATCAAATGCTCACCCTTTCATACACTCGCCCGGATAACCCCAGATCCGCACCTGCACCAGCATCCCGAGACTCACACTCTATTTTGTATATCCCACGGCCACAATCTGCTCCAGTGTCTTGAACCCATCGTGCGCAAACCCCTTTGTGACATCAACCTTGTACTCCTTCCCGTCGACCCTCAAAACCCCAAATCCCATGTCCGTCCACGCGCTCCTGACCCCGCGAAACATGTTGGCAAACGCCCTGCCCAGCCTCCGGAACGGCATGGTCAAGAGATGCTCCATGTCAAACTTGCGCAGTGCCTGGCGCTGCTCCTCCTCCCTCATCTTCAGCTCCAGCCGCTTCAACTGGGGGACGTATTCCTCCGGCAGGGAGAATCTCGACTTTAGGCACACGTTTTCGAGGGAGGCGGTGATGGCCCTAGGCTTGAGGACGGGCAGCATGCGCTTCACCGTGACCTCGAGCCGCGGGTGTGCGGCCCCGGCAGCAGAGACGGCCGGCGGCAATACGCGTATCGTGCTGACGATGTTGGGCGTCTTGGAGAGCAGGTAGAACCCCATGGCGCCGAGGAGCACGTACGAGGCGCCAAACACGTAGCCTACCCACTGCGGCGTGCCGTCGGGCTGCTTGACGACCGTCGGCCCCGTGAGCGCCGTCCATGCGAGGATGGAGATGCCGCTGGACCAGCAGCCAAAGTAGAACCAGAAGTGGGAGGGAGCTTCGTACAGCACCGTGGGGGTTTGCTTCGACGAGAGGCTCTTGATGAATGCGTATCGGGAGGGTGCGGCGGTTGTCGGGCTCCCTCTGGGGGGAGAAGGTTTAGACGGTAGTTTCTTTTCTACTTTTACAGACGGGGAGGCCGATGGCGGTGCTCGTAGTCGGAGGGGGGAGGTTGTGAAGAATCGCAACGGTCCGACGGGGTGTGCCGGGCGTGGGAGAGCTCGGAGCGGGAGAGGGAGCAGGGCGATGCCCCGTGAGAAACTAGCCATTGGGGCTTGATCCCCGCGATTTGCCGGACCTATGATGTTGTTCGTATTGCGTGGGTGTGTAAATGAGCGTGGTTGCGGTCTCGCGGAACCCGGCATCAAGGCAATTCGTCCCGCGACGTTGGAATGACAATTTAGAATCGAAAATTGATAACCTTATCAGGGTGGAGGTCCCCTGGGTTGGGTGATTTGTTCACTCCCGGCATAGCGCCGACAAGGCCGGAAAAGTGTACAAAATTATGTCGACATTTAGTGTGATGATATCCACATGAGCTGGCGACATTATTTTGTCAGCCTAGCTCAATATCGGTACGTACCGATGTCGTCCCCAAAAAACTGCTTGTCCATCATCCGTGCTCATTCCGCCCTGCATCGGCGCTCCCCAACAGCTCCAAAAGCTCCCAATTTTTGGAGCGCAGCTTTCCAAAGCCTCGCTCCCTCCGCCCGATCCCAATACCCTACGAATCGAGCTCTTTTGAGAATACGGCACATCAGATTGCTCAATTGGGCTGTTATGGCGTCTTTAGCGGGTGCTTGCCGTGCTTCGGCTCGTCTTGTTGGGAGGGCCTCTTCTCGGGGTAGGTTCTCAGTTCTCTGCTGCAGCTTTGGAACCATTTACGAGGCGTCAGCAGTTCAGTCAAGTGGCATCGCGGGGACCGTGTCTTTATTTATTTGCTAACTGGGACGTACAGGCCTCACAACCTCTGCACGATGCCTTGCGGCACAGAATTTCGTTATGCCCGCCCTTTCTCCGACTATGACCGAAGGAAACATTGCCACATGGAAGGTCAAAGAGGGCGAGAATTTCAGCGCCGGCGATGTCCTACTGGAAATTGAAACGGATAAGGCGACCATGGATGTGGAGGCCCAGGACGATGGTATTATGATGAAGATTATGGCGCAGGATGGGGCCAAGGCCGTGCAGGTCGGAACTCGGATCGCGGTGCTGGCTGAGGCAGGCGACGATATCAAGACACTCGAGATTCCAAAGGACGAGCAGCAGCAGCAGCAGCAGCAGAGCAGCAGCGACTCAGCTGCTGCGCCCAAGCAGGAGGAGGCTATCCCCGAGAACAAGGCCAAGCCCGCACCAAGAGCGCCGACTGTAGAAAGTCACGAGCAAAAGTATCCCCTGATGCCATCGGTCGAGCACCTCGTCAAGCAGAACGGCCTGAGCAAGGACGACGTCAGCAAAATCACCCCCACGGGTCCAGGCGGGCGCTTGCTGAAGGGCGATGTGCTAGCCTACCTGGGCAGCATCAACGCCGACAGTCCTGCCGTCGTATCGTCACGCTTGGAGAAGCTATCCCACCTGGACCTGAGCAACATCAAGGTTGCTGAGAAGAAGGCTGCTCCTGCTGCTCCCGCTGCTGCTGTACAGGAACCTAAGCCTTCTAAGCAGGAAGCTCTCCCCCTGGAAATCAACGTCCCCGTGTCCCTCAGCAAGGTCGTCGAGGTCCAGAAACGCATCCAGAAGACACTCGGCGTCTTCATGCCCCTTTCCACATTCATCAGCCGTGCTGCCGAAGTCGCCAACGGCAATTTGCCTCCTGCCAGTCGCGCCCCCACCGCCAGCGAACTCTTCGACCAGGTTCTCGGCCTAGACAAGATCAAGGCAGCCAAGGGGTCCCGCGGCGTCTACCTGCCGCAGATTTCAGCCGTGCCCCCGAGCACGCTATTCGAGCCTCCCGCACGATCGGCCAAGAAGGCTGACATTATCGACGTGCTGACTGCCAAGCCCAAGAAGGCTGTTCGTGAGCATGGCATCGCTACTGTTCCTGGATTCTCCAACGGCCTCAACGTGTTTAGTCTTGTTGTGCCTCGGGAGGAGGAGCATAGAGCACACATGTTTTTGGAGAGGTGCAAGGCCATCTTGGAGGAGGAGCCTGGGAGATTGGTACTGTAGAACTTGGTCTTTGACAGGGCAAATTAGTTGGTCAAGCGAGGTGGTTCATGTAACTATATTCGAATAGACTCAATATGCACAAATCAGTCCGAACAGCTAGCTTGCACGCACAGTCGGCCGTCTTCTACCAAGTCTCGGGATGCCGTTCTAAGCTGCATATGTACATGATATTATATGGCGCCGCCATCCCCTGGCGGCCCTGCGGAGCACTCTTGAACCGATATCCATGCCGTGTAACTCAAGCGCTCCTACTGCCGCTAAATGCGGCTTGCCCTGCATATTAATGGCCGTTTCTCATTTTCGGTAAGCATGGTGTGATGACAACCCGCCGCTGTCGCCCTCTTTTCCACATTGCATCAAAGCCAACGGTGGCATGTTTCGGGAGGGAGGGTTCAAGAAGACGTTGATGAATAGTTGCTGGCAAGACATATATACTAACATTGAACGTGAAAATTGCACGTACCGATTCTGTGACAATCTCGCCTCCTCTGTACATCAGTCCTCACTGCAACTGGCGGCTGGGATAATGCATCTCCCACATGTGCCTCGGAGCTATCAAATATTAAGAGGATGGAGCTCTACAACATCATCACGATGGAAGCACGACGCCGCCCGTAGCACCCGTGTTCGGTAATCCCGTACTTCCGACCACTATTCCGAAGACGCGCGAGTAGAAAACTCGAGGCACCTCAGCTAATCAGCCCAGGCGGTTCTGGATAAGGAGAAGAAGCAAGCAAGCAGCGAGGGGGGAAAGCCACAGCCATGCACGCAGTAATTTGATCATCACCATCAACAGCAAACTTTAGATTCGGCTTGTTGCAAACCTCTGAAAAAGGCCATGACTGTAATCACCAAGGGACGCATGATCAGAGGTGATGTTTTACTCGGCAGGGCGGGGGAAAAGTCGTGCCCACAAAGGTTTAGTTTTCCGCACCAGCACGCATGGTAACTACATCTCGGTTGACTGAATGCCAAGGGAAAAGGGAAAAAGATGGAAAATAAAGATAGAAACCCAACTACATCCTTGTGACTGTTCCCAGAGAAAAACTCGTCTTCATCCCGACATGCTAATTGCTGACCTGGACCTTGTCTGCCTGCATGCCCTTCTGTCCCTGCACGGCTTCAAAGGTGACCGCCTGTCCTTCTTTGAGAGACCTGAAGCCGCTCCCCTCAATTGCTCTAAAGTGCACAAACAAGTCGGGCCCAGACTCTGGGGTTATGAACCCATACCCCTTCTCCTCGTTGAACCACTTGACCACTCCGTTTTGTCGCTCGCTCATGGTGACGGGCGTTGGTCTGCAGAGAGAAAAATCTGCTAAGTTAATATAAACGTGAGGGGAAAGCGCGGTGCTTACTGTGTTGACGTGTGGCTTGTGGTGAAATTGCTAGTTTCTGTTCTTGTGTGAAATGGAAAGATGCTTCAATCCAAACTGTTGGGGGAAATTTTTTTTTGCTTGGCCTGGAGGACGGTGTGCTTTGCAGAAATATGTTTTGCATATTGGCGCCCTGTCAGGCTTGTGAACCTTGGTAGGTTAAAACACGTGACCCTCGCCTTGACCTCTGCGTCTCAGGGCGGGCGCTTGCTCTCCTCCATCACGTATCCTTGGCCAACTTTTTTTTTTGCAATTGCTGCTTGTTTCATATGAAGGGCTGTCGTGTGGTTGCCGTATTATCCCGAGACGTGCGTGTATTCTGACGTAGCAATCCGGCAGCAGGTATCCCTCAGTAGCTGAATTGAAACATACATGCTCTGACGTGGCGATAGGAGCCGGTGCCAACGCCTTGATTCCATCTAGCTATGGCAACTGCCGTTTATTTGCTTACATATGGTAGATGGATATTGGCTGCCCAAAGTTTTGTATGAGCGTTGTGCTGTCCTTGTTCTAAAACGGCCAGTTTCTAGAACAATACACAGCTAGCTTCACGGGTTTTAGGAGAGTGTTTCCTGCAGTCCATCCAGTCACTATCGACAATCGCGGATCGTGATGAGTACCGGGATACTTTCATCGAACAACATTCTGATATACTGTGGCATATTATAGGGTACAGCGCGTGATAGTTAGATATCTGTCTGGTGTAGTATTTTTGGCCCTCTACGGTAGGGAACAACGCGTCTCCAGAGGAAGACAAATTTGAGAAAGCCGGATACCATAGGCTCGTCAGAAAGTCTATGGAGATAAAATGTGACGGATTACAGAGAGGGTATTGTAATCCAAACCCGCGTGTATGGCCATTCACTGGATCCCAGGCTCCCGTTGTCGAGACGCAGCAGAGGTAAAGCTTTCGTCATGTGTAATACTACAAACTAGAACTTGATCACTTGGTCCAATTACGCATTCTTCACCTCCGCTTGACGAAGCGCTTTACATCCGCTTGGAACAAATTGGTCAACTATTACCGAGGAGACATGTTAGCGGGCATTACTATAACAAAGCAGGGAAAACGAGCAAATACTCAGACTTACAGGAATGTATTTCACAGGGACTTTTTCGGCAACTATGTCATCCGATTCTCCATTAAAACAAGACACCAAGTCTGCAAGTTCCTCCTGAAGGGTGACCAGATGTCTTACTGCACCGGGGTCGTCACCGATTCCGCAAAAGAGAAGGACGAGTTTATCCCCTAGGCTCACCTTGCCACTCCGAATCGCACTCTTGAGCTTCTCATACTCGTTTTATTTAGCCTGCTCGACGTTTTGGCTCACATTAGCAAATAGTCCGCGAAGACAAGGGAGTGCACCAGAGAGAGAGAAAGAGCTCACCTCTCTATCCGTGATGATAATAGCAATTATCGGCCTGTTGATTGTCTCATCGGCATGCTTGGATTATTACAATTTCGACGGCTCTGTCTTTAGTGGCCTCCAGTGTTTCCCGATCATGTTTCATTTTGTTATCGAGAACGTCTTTAACCTTGTCGACCTTGACAATATCTTTCCAAGACTCGTCGTTTTCGTAAAGAGCCCGCAAGTAGATTCCTTCTCTCCCAAACTCACGCGCCAACTCGGCAACTTGCATGCTATTTTTCAGGTACATAGTTCCTGGTAACCTGAGTCATAGAGGTATAATTAATTGCACTGAATATATTAGCAGAGTTCCTAAAATATTAGGCTGAGGGAAACAATAGCATACGTGCCGCAAAGCAGCATGAAATCCAATGGAGCCATACAATCAGCGACGAGACTATATCCTTGGAAAGCTCCAACTTGGAATTGCCTGCAACTACAGCCGCTTTGCGGGCCATGCGTTTCACATCGTCGTCTGTATACCTGGAGAAGACGGTACAGCTTTGGATAAAAGAGCGAGCATACGTCAAACACGCCTCGGTGTCGAAGATCTTACCATTTAGTCACATTAGCATGGATCATCCGTGGGCGAGAGTCTCTTGAATAAGAAGTACTTCGACACTGTTTTGAGCGTACGAAGCTATCATTCAATACTTACGTCAGATCCGAAACTCTTTTTGAGTAGCACTGCAACGGACTCTTGACGCTCAAATCTCGCGGCCAATTGCAAGATCCTCGAGTTAATTGCCCGCGTGCCAGCGGTGTTCTCTATTAGCAGATAACGACTTGACTCTGATTCTTCCGCGCAGCCACATGCAGGGCAGCCTCTTTAACAGTATTCGGTACCTCCATGTCTGCACCGCTGAGAATAATCTCCGCGGCGACTTTCAGATTTCCCTTTGCTGCTGCGACATGCAAGGGAGCGTTGCCTTTGCGGTCCCTGGCGTTTGACTAGGTCTCGCACCTCGCTTCTTCTTGTCCAACAGCAACATGACAGAATCCATACAAGCGTTCTAATTTTTTGCTGCGGCGTGTAGGAGATTTTGTTTGTTTCTTTTCCTTGGTCGTAAGCCTCTCCCCGTTGTCGACAAGCATCTTGATAACAACGTTGGCATCGGGCCCGCCATTTTCGACGACTATATGTAGAGGAGTCTCACCCTCGTCATCTTTGATATCTATCTTGGCGTCATTCTGAAATAATAATAGCTCTGCGGCCTGGGCACTCGCAGTGACTGCAGTGTGGAGCGATGTTTGTCCAGTATTAGAATCCCCTTGGTCGATCACATCTCCTCTACCTGCAATCAACGTCTCTACAGCTACAGTGTTTCGTCGTGGAAATGCAAGGCGAAGTGCGGAGCCATGTTCTTCTTCTCATGTCTTGCTCATCAATTCCTGGAGAGCGGCCAGATGATTTGCCGAGGCTGCCATGTACAGAGGCGTCCGACACCAACTGACTTTCTGACTGGGAGGAACACGTAGCTTCAAAAAGTGTTTTATGGCAGATTTTCTCCCTTGCTCAGACGCTCTATGAAGAAGCGTGTAGCTATCTTGATCCTTGACTCTCAATACGTCTCCTCTTCTTGTGAAAGCCTGTCAATGACATCTTTCTGATCGTTCTTAGCCGCAACGTGCGAAGCATCTGCCAAGCTTTTGATACCGATTTTATCGCATTGCAGCAGTCTCTCGAATATGGTAGAATGGCCACTACGAGCTGCCAAAGCTAGCGCTGTCATTTCAGAAACCATCAGATCATTGATTTTGTCGTAGCCGCCGGACAGCAACAGCGATACCACGTTGGCATGTCCGAGTTCGCTGACAATGTGACGAAGTGTTACACCTTGCGAGCACGGCAGATTCCTCTCCTGCCTGTATGCGTACTTCAAAATGCGATCCTCTGAAATATTCCGTATGATCTGTTCCTTGTGATTCCCATCCATTTGGCTTCCTGTCTTGTCCAGATGGCTTGACCAAGATGTGGCTGCGTATTGGAGGAAGGCAAGATCGCCAGAATTGCCCTTCAGATAGTCGACACAGGTTATGTAATGCTCGCAGTCAACTTTTCCATTTCTTTCTGATCTTTTGCAAAAGTTACCCGCAAAGACGCGCTCCCAGAAGCTTTTACGAAGCGAGCCAGGCGCTCAAAGCCAGAAATTTTGCCCAATTCTTCTGCTTCATTCAATCCTCCTTCATGGCCTTCTCCAGCTCGAGTGCGACGCCTTCCGCCAGCTTCTTCCTCTAGAGCAACTCCTTGTTCTGCTTCATTATACAGCCTGGTCTCATTGCCTTGAGACGAGATTCCATTAATTCCCCCAAATGGACCTTCAACATATCGTCAAATTTCCTCTTCCGTTTCCGATACATGTATCAGTTGAACTTCCGTTTCGTGTTAGTTGTTATGGCCGCAAAGTACCCTTGCTCGCTGAGCGGGCGCTCCGAACACAAAACCCACCGCAGCAGGACTCGTCTCATTGTATCAAGCCCCTTATTTCTGGCCGGCAGAGGCGGCAGCAACTGTTGAAACTATATCGTGCCTTCAGCCTTTCGTCATCGTCAACTGCATCTGCTTTTCTCACCGCTCGTACCAAGTCATCTTAAGAAATGCTAAACTTGAGTTTCTCCTCGAGCAGCTGTTTGCCTTGGTGAAGCTGCCGTCCGCATCCCGACTTAGCTCAGAGCTTATTTTCTCGAGCATTTGGCGGCCCTTGATGTATCTGTAATATTCTGGTAATGCCTCGTAATGGATCTCGACATGCGTTTTACCATCTCCGCCAGTGTACTGATCGTTTTCAGCCCTTTCGGCGTCTTCGAGAACGTTGAGTAGGGGAGTCGATGGTCTGCTAGTGAGAAATATCCTAAAGAGGTTAGTCGGCATACTGGCGAGATGTCGTACGAACACGAAAATGTGCTCGTGTGTTGAACGGCGCAAGGATCCCAAGGAATCAATAACCAGAAATACCTTCAAGCGGCTTTTGATAGCCTGTAGAGAATAGAAAAGCGCCTTAAGTGTATCTAGTGGCCACCTTCCCTCGGTGTCTTTAATAATATTAGGCGCCGTATACTGATCCACGCCTAGATGCTGAAAATGAGGAAATGATTCGTGACTGTAAATCTAATGAAGCAGAACTCTAAGGATGCCTTTAGGCTTTGTTGCTCAAAGTTCTCTCATTTCAGTGAGTTCTCCACCCAGTCTATCACTCTATGACAAATCACCAACTCTTCGGCCCAAATACCTGTCCACTCGCAACCCGTCCCTGCACTGCCGTCCCCTGCGCATCCATTGTCGAGTCCACGATCTCATTCCCCCACCACTTGGGCGGCTCGATCCCATGCATGCTAAAGGCGAAGAAAATAAACAAGGTCCCAAGTGCCAATCCCAAATCCAGCCCACACGACGTCAGGAAATTCAGCCGCCCCCACCATCCGAAATGCCTTTTCTTAATCCAGTACTGGAATATGAAGCCCACGATACCCCAGGAGAAGTAATTCAGCGGCGTGGCCGGTGGGATTGCGCCTGCGCCGCCGAATATTAACGGCGCCATGACGTACTGGAGCGGGGACCTAGGGTAGTGTTTGAAGCCGAAGTAGACGGCAATGGGCACAATGGCGCCCAGGACGAAGAAGAGGAAGAGAGCAGAGTAGATGCGGCCTGGAGAGAACATGCGGTCTGGGCCGATGAGGCCCCAGATGACGGAGGCTGAAGGTTGTCAGATGGGTTGGAGCAAAAAGAAAAAAAAGAGAAAGGGAAAGAAAAGGGACAGAGTTGACATACCTGAGAAGAAGACTCGGCCTCCAGGGCAGGTGAAGTGATCCCGCTGATGTTGGTCGCAGATATCGGGGATATTGGTGAGTGCGAGGTTGAGCACTATGATTTGGATGAAGCATGAGAAGGTGGTGGCGACTACTTGAGCCCAGAACATGGTCCGCGGAGGGATTTTCATGTAGTGTCCAAACTTGAGGTCTGAGACGAAGCTGAGTGCTTGAGACCTGGGACAGTTAGCATATTATGTGTGATGAGTAGTGCTAGAGCATCGAACATACATGGTGATATATCCAAATGTTTTGAAACTACGATCCATTAGTTCATGACTGTAGGTGTCGTCACGTCTGAGCGGAACCTACATCATTAGAGCCAACGGCCGGCCTGGCTGAATATATCCGAAAATAAACTCTGTGAGTACGTTCAAGCCAATGCGATTATTTGTGACAGCTTCAATAATACCAATTGGCAAAGAAAAGCCAAACGATATTGTCACGGCGAGGAGAAATCCCCACCATGTGAGTTTGGTAGGGTATGCCAGTACAGTAAACAGGCCCATTGCAAGCATCTATACGCCTGAATTAGACAGAGAGTGCCCTGTGTTCGCAGGGGCTGGCTTACCACAAGAAATAGGCCCATGTACCACCAGTCTGGCGCTTCTTTATATTTCTTCATCAGCTTCATGTGAATATCTGGTTTCTCATTTGCACTGTTTTGATACTGTTTCCAAATTTGCTTGCCGTTGTGGAGATATGTATATACGATAAGGGATGAAATAGCCGCAAAAGAGAGACCATATGACATGGCAAACGTCGTGCTAAGCATGTATGTGTAAGTCAATGTGTGAAACATGAATCAGCGCGAGCATACCTAAGGAACAGCGGTGAGTAGTTTTCGTAAGCTTCTTGATCTAGAGTAAAGTCTTTGCTAAGAACACGCGATGTATTATATGGAGCGCCGGTATTATCATATGTATTTGCATCGCTCATAGGTAGAAATTCGGCATACCAGGCCCCAGAAAAGTGCAGAGCAGAACATCCAATCACGTAGAATGCAACAACTCCAATCAAAGTATTGGCTATGGCATACCTGAAACAGTCAGTATGCTTTGTGATGGGGAAAAGGTGTCCTTTAACCTTACCAAGGCGGAATCAGCGGCGATCCTACCCAGCCCGAAATTTGAGTCCAGTCAAAAGTAATGGGGAGCAAGGATAAGCCAGTTGTGCCACCAAACAACTGGTTGACAACAGGATTCTGAGGCGCGATCCAAGTGGCAAAAGCGAAAACGCTCAAGCATTGGGCTAAAAACCCAGGGATAAAGTAGTACACGAATGCACCCACGGTGACGAGGAAAAACCACATAAGTCTCGGCATGTTGCCGCCAAAGACTGACGGGTCTCGGACTTCATTCTTCTCATACATGGTATTCATCATGGTTACAGCCACGAGATTAGCTGGCCATATCATGGAGGCAGGGTAGACTGCAACAGTCAGCAATTGTAGGGATTGGGGTGAGGATGACCAACTGACCCAAAAACTTGCGCATTGTCCCTGCAATACCATACCCAAGCGACTGAGTCGAGATGGTCAGTAGTAGCTGGAACCATACTCCAAAATTCTGATTGTAAAAGATGCGCTGAGCAAGTATGATGTCGGTCGAATATGCCACCGAGAAGGACACACTGGCCATGACTCCAATGATGGAGTGCTCTTTGATATTGAACGGGCCAGGGTTGAGAGACCAGGTGAAGCCCCAGGTGGTGAAGTTTCTCTTGGGCATGAAGCGAGCCCATGCATGGCCTACGGGCCACGCAATGATTTGTGCAACTAGTGGCCCAATGGAGATTGATGGCTGTCGCAAGGAGAAGAGCGTGTTCATTGAGGCGCCCACGACAACCAGACTCAGGCCCAGGACCCAGGCTCTCACAGTGTTGCAGGGGACGTCCTCATCGTAATTGCGGACAGCCGCTCGAACCTCGGGGTACGGAGAATCCTCCTCCTCGCGTCTCTTCCGGACACTTCTGGTTCCCAACTCAATGGCGTCGGCATGTTCATCATCTGGGAAGTTTGGGTCCATGAGGAGCTCATGCTCAGACACTTCGTCATCGCTGCCGTGGCCCTCGCCCCATTGAAACATGTGCTCCTTGAGCCCCTCGATGGACGCAGAGCGCTTATGGGAGGATGAATGCCTTGAGCTCGGGCCGGCGCCGGCGTCAAATCCTGTTGACTCGGCGCTTGTCCGCCGTTGGCCCAGTCCGGCACTCATGGCGAGGTACCTTGGATGGCCGTGCGATATCAAGGTGCGATGAGGTCTATTTGCTTTCAATCAGATCGACATGGCGGTCAAGTGTGAAAGCCTAATGTTTATGTACTCTGAGTGCGAGGGGAGATTAGCTGGGCAGCGAAGAGATGATTTTAAATAGAGGCCACATCCGAGTAAAGGCCAGCTACATGTGTTCAAGTAACAAGTAGGGGCAGCAAACCCGGGTCAATCTGAGAATTCTATCGACGTATTTGGTCTGTGAGTGTGTGAGACATGGGAAGCAGTCCTTTGTCGTTTGTCCTTGGCCTCTGCTGATGGGGACCAAATGCGATACAGGTCCAGATGTCGAGATGGAAGCCGGTGGATTCAGTCTGCCGTTGTCGATTTTTTACCAACGCCTTGTATCCAACGGAGAAAAAGTGGGTGGAAGTTGATACCGACGATGAGGCCGGAAGTCGACGAATGCAGACGAGGCGATGAACAAAAAGACATTGGCAATGGTGTTTCACAATTGATCCGTGTCCTCAATAAGCCACGGAGTCAGCCGCAAGCGCCCCCGTCGACCTAGCGTTCGTGATGGCAGGTGGAGCTGACTGACATGGCTGTATCAGGACAACTGGGCAGGAAAGAGCAACGGAGGAGCCTACTTGATTTAAGCACACTGAGATACCTACCTAGGTAGGTACCTAGGTACTTAGTAGACATCAATTGGTTTCAACTACAGGTTGACAACATTAGAATACTCAGTGTCCTGGCAGCTCAAGACCCGACTGCTCATGTCCTCGCACAAACCACATGCGCCGTGCCCTGGTGAATGTCCAGATGTCAGTACACCCCACTGTAGTCGTGCCACGCTGTGCCGCCCGTCCGCCACTGAAGACGCTGTAGGCGAGCGCTAGCCTGCTGTCTCCATTGATCAATCATGGCACTCAGTGCTGGGTTCAAATGTCGATTGCGGGCGCGTGCTTGAAAGTGTGATGGGAAAACTTGCTTCGCATTTCAAGCCCATCCATCAAGCAAGCAATTACCACAACCAAAAATTATAGTCAACCTTTGAGCACATAGAAAACCCCTGATTTATATCAGGGCGCTTCAGAGCCCGCCACTGGCCACAAACTGAGCTCACTCGAAACAAGTTTTAATTCTCTCCCTCCTCCTACCTCGTCCGATATGACATCGCCATCGTCATGCGCCGCGTGGTAGTTACAGGTCTGGGCGCTGTCACTCCCCTTGGAGTAGGTATTCGAAAAATCTGGAACCGATTACTCGCCGGTCAATCAGGAATCGTCAGTGTTGCGTCGCGACAGCCGCAGGCGAGATGGAAGGAGTTGACAAGCACCGTTGCTGGTGTCGTTCCTGTCGGAAGTGAGCCAGGTCAATGGAGGGCCAGCGACTGGCTCAGCGCCTCTGAACAGAGACGAATGTCTACTTTCACGCAATACGCCATTGCAGCAAGTGAGATGGCTCTAAAAGACGCCGGATGGGACGTGACGAAGCTGGAGGACATGGAGGCTACCGGCGTGTGCTTGGGCAGTGGTATCGGCAACTTGGACGAAATATACGAGACCAGCCTGGCACACCATACTGATGTGAGCTGCTACAAACACTTGCAGAAATACAAACGCTGACTCTTCATGCAAAAGGGATACAAGAAAGTCTCACCTTTGTTCGTCCCCAAGATACTAATCAACCTGGCAGCGGGTCACATCGCCATGAAATACGGCTTCCAGGGGCCGAACCATGCTGCCACTACAGCCTGCACCACCGGCGCACATTCCATTGGCGATGCCTCCAGATTTATCGCCATGGGCGACGCAGATGTCATGGTGGCCGGCGGCTCCGAGGCTTGTATTCACCCACTCACATTCGCTGGCTTCGGCAGAGCGAGGTCTTTGTCCACGGCCTACAATGACAACCCATCCGGCAGTTGCCGACCGTTTGACTCGGACCGCAATGGATTTGTCGTTGCCGAAGGAGCTGCCGTTTGTGTGTTGGAGGAGCTGGAACATGCCAAAGCCAGAGGAGCTCGGATATATGCTGAAGTCAAGGGGTACGGCTGTAGCGGGGATGCATATCATATGACGGCGCCCCGAGAAGACGGGCGAGGAGCATTTCTGGCCATGAAGCGGGCCCTGAAGAATGCCGGCGTGAAGCCTTTGCAGGTTGACTACATAAATGCCCACGCAACGGGTACGCAAGTTGGAGACGTGGCAGAGGCGGCCGCCATCCGCAGACTTATGCTTGGCCAGGAGGGGTTATCAGCTGAATCACAGGTCACAGTGAGCAGCACCAAGGGAGCAATGGGGCACTTGCTAGGGGCTGCAGGAGCTATTGAGGCTCTGTTTGCCATTCTCTCAATACACGAGGTTGGTCATGTTCGCTTATTAAAAGACGCTCTGGACAAGGGCTAACGTCTTGACAGGGTGTTGTACCAGCTACACAAAACTTACACAAGCCCGACGTCGGTATAAACTTTAATTTTGTTCCCTTGACGGCCCAAGACAAGAGGGTTCGGGTAGCAATTTCCAACAGTTTTGGCTTTGGCGGAACGAACAGCAGCTTGGTGTTTTCGAAGATGTAGAACAGTGCAGGCGTTCTGTACAACGATGTAAAGAAAAACACTGTAGTTTTACATGTAGGAATATCCGTGTAACAACACCAATAAGAGCATGCAAACACGACTTTTGGCTTACCCAGATATACTTTCCTCAATGACGATGCGCATGCCATGGACTCATGTCCCCGTCATAGACATTGAAAGTGGCCCGCGCACGGACCACCCCGAGCCACTCGCATGCCAATTAATTTCTCTGACATCCAAAAAAGTCATCGACCACAGAAGAGCTCCAACTTCGTTTCCATGCCGTCCGCCGTCACAAGCAACCCCCCGCCCAAACCACCTTGACCAGCCAGTGTCTTCCTGGCCCAGACAAATCGTGGATCATCATGGCCTGCGAATCGTGCAGGCTACAGACCCGGACGCTCCTCCGGGCAGCAATTCGCACGCCCGCCGTCAGAGACGCCCCGGCAAGGACCCTGAACCTGTCGCGACCGACAAGCTCACCACATCCTGCATCCACGCGATGGTTCAGCAACACGCCCCAAAGAAGCATTCTGGGTATGGGAACACTAGGCGAGTCGTACCGCGTTCTCGGTGCCTCTGAAAAGCTGTACAAGATTTGCGCGCGGCCCGCAGACTACCATATCTCCGAGGAGGCACGCAACAACGACCAGGTCGAGAGGTTGGAAGACGGCGAGGAGCTGGGCACGCCCATCGATGCAGGAAATGTGTGGCACAAGAGTACGTTGACAAATATACTTCTTTCCTTGCCTGGAAGAAGGAAAACCAAAAGTACATAGACTGACATCCCCCCGGGGGGAAATCAACAGCCTTTGGCCTCCAACCCAGCTTCAGCACCTGGTCCCACGTCACCATGCTCCATCTTTACCTCCTCCAAGCCCGCGTCCGCTGCTTCGAGCGCGACACCTTCCGCAACTGGCAGCAGCAGCTCGTCGACCATTTCTTCTTCGACTGCGAAAAGAAGATGCACCTCGATCACAACATCACCTCGAGCGCTCTGCGCCAGCGGTACCTCAAGGATATTTTCGTCCAGTGGCGCGGCCTGCTGCTTGCGTACGACGAGGGTCTCATCAAGGGCGATGCTATCCTTGCCAGTGCCGTCTGGAGGAACTTGTTCAAGGGGGCTCCCGAGGTTGATCCGAGGTCCTTGTGCGCCATTGTCGGGTGGATGAGGTCGAGTCTGGCGTCGCTGGAGGCGGCGAGCGACGTGGACTTTCCGCAGAAGGCGGGTGATGTTTTGACGAGGCCGGTGGACGTATTTTGGAGCCGGTTGGAGGAGCCGTTCAAGAAGGCGTTTGAGGGGGAAGCCGGGAAGAAGAATGGGGAGTGAGGCATGATCTGATGGGTGAAAACTGGACGCACAGAAGGAGAGAGTTTCGGGAACGGTGGCATGTATAATTACGTGTGGAAAAAACAGAGGGGGGGGCTGCAGACGACGCTGTCGTTGTATATCTTGGTCAGATGATATCCCAACTTCTGCCGCTGTATTAAAGCAAAAATAGCAATCACTGTACATTACGGCACACAATGTCCGAGTTCCCGCTGCCCGCTCTCGTCATGCTCTAGCATTTGCATCTCTTCCAACCCCGCGACATGTCCAAAGGCGACACCAAATCATCAGCCCACGGGCATCATCCACCACAATGTCCCATCATTCCCTCTCCCACATCTGCCACTCGTACCCAACGCCGCCCTCCTCCATCGTCGCATCTCCAGTTTCTCCCGTCCACGCCCTCCACTCGTCACTTTCCTTCCTCCGCCATCCGGCGCTCCTCGCCGCATCACCTCTCAAATCCAAGCCGAAAAAGGTGTCGCACTCATACTCCCTCTCTATACTCGTCAGCAACACCCTCTTCGCGGCATCCATCTTGAGCGCGGCATCGTATATCTGTCCTCCCCCCATGACAAACACCCTACTTATAGTGGGGTGCGTCCTCGCAAACTCGACAGCCTGCTCGAGCGAGGACACCCTCACAGGTTCAGAGGCCGTAATCTCTGCAGGAAGCGTCGGCGAGTGCTGCCGGGACACGATGATGTTGAGGCGGTTCTTCAGGGGCCTAAACTTGGCCGGGATAGAGTCCCACGTCTTGCGGCCCATGATGACGGCATTGACAGAGTTGGGGGCCGCCTTGACCACGCCGGGCGGGTTACCATGTGCGTACCCTGTTCGCGACGGGGATGGGAGCAAACTTACCTGCGGGGGAACCCGCGTCGTGACGCGCGCGAAATACTGCATCTCTTTGCGCAGACCTGTCCACGGCATGGTGCCGTTCAGGCCGATGCCCATGCTGCGCGTGGCGGCGACGATGAGCGTCAACTCGGGCTGCATCGCGAGGTTGGTCACGAATTCGCGGAAGAAGTGCGAGATGCGTGGGGTGGTTGGCGTTGACTCTCGAAGTGTTGGTGCGGGACGAAGTGGGTATCAAGAGACAAAACTACAATCACTGCTACTACAAAATGGCGAGAGACGGGGGAAAAGAAACTACACAAGTAAAATTCATTACGTAGCGGGCCGTTATTCGTTGATATATATACACTCTGTGTGTTTCTACAACTTGGCTGCTGATGATGGCGGCAGAACCGCAACATCTTGGAACGGGATACCCAGATGCATATAAATATGATTGAATCTAACAACAAGAAAAGAAGGGAGTCAGCAACGCGCCTTTGAGTTCTCCGACTTTCAGGCAAAAACACATACCGGTCACTCCCAAAGAAGGGCTGAGTTTCGCCCTTGGAGTTCGTCGCCAAGATCCACGGGCACCCGAAAGCGCCCGACTCGACAACCATGGCGGTGTCCTCGATCAACCTCTTCTTCATCTCGGCCCTGCCATCCATGATCCGGCCAACGTCCGCCTCGGTGAACAGCTTGGCTCCGCCGCCAGGCATCTCGGTGGCCTCGGCAAGCAAGGCGCGCAGGCTGGATTCGTCGACGACATCGGCGTTGGGGGGCGTCCAGAACCTGTGCAGCAGGAAGTGCATCGCCGACAGGAGCTTCTCCTTGGGGTGGTTGGCCTTGATGAAGAGCAGGGCCCGCAGGGCCGACTGCGTCTTTGCTCGCTCAAACAGGTCATCGGGCGCCTGGTACTCGGTGATGCCGACCCGGGCAGCGGCGCGCCGGTTGTCGTAGATGAGATACCTGGCCTTGGCGGGCAAGGTCCACGGTGGCCGGTTGCCTTTTGGCGGCATCAGACTACCGAGTCGATGTGCTGCGTGGGATCCAAACATGCTTACCGGACAGGTGGTTGATGCCTCCCAGAAAGATGGGATGGAACCTGGCAATAGTAATTAATACGGTCGTATTGTCAGTTCCCCATGCGTGTTGGCCGGACTCACTCTACTTCAACCCCATGGGCGGCTAGCTTATCCAAATTGAGTCGCAAGTCTGCAATACAGATATAGCTAAAGAAGGACGCTGTGTTTTGAAAACGTCAGCCAAGTTTGCTGGCACGGGCAATTATTGACTCGAGCATGGGGGCTTACCAAGGTCCAGATAGCAATCGATGCGTCCACCAGCCATTTTTGTAACATTGAACGCACAATTAGGTCAGCACTTAAGCCAAGAATCTTGAGAGATGAGATATTCTGGTTCGGTGCTCATGGCGTGATTGAATATGTCGACAGCCATGGTTTCTGTAGCTCTCGACTCGGATCTGGGGTCGGGAACTTTAGAAGCTAGTGGCAGATCTCTAGACTCTGGGAGCGTGGGGAGCCGAGGCCCATTGCGGAGTCCGGACTCATGCGGAGGAGCTACCGAGTGCGGTGAGTCGGAGAGTTTAGTAATCCAGGCAACACACCAAACCAACCAGACTTTTCTGCGCTCTCTTGTGCGTCCCATTATTTGCCTCCATATTTATAGTATACTATAGTATATTAGCGTGTACTTTTCGGTGGGTAAATAGATATCCTGCCACAGACTGTACTCTACAACAACAGCACCCTCCTCTCTTCTGGCATCAAAGACCCATCCATCCATTTCTGCAATTCCGCGGCCAATCTGGGACTCGTTGGGTTTTCCTCAGCCACCACGTCTGAATACCTGTGTATTAAACTCTGGACATGGCCCAACGAAACGTTGTCCAGGTTTGCCATCTCAAATAAGGTCCCCAGTAGTGCTGGATATCCCGCCAACTGGAGCTCACAAGCATACTCAAGCACCGACTGCGGGCCATGCTCATTGTCAATTCTTGCACCGCTTGACAGCAAAATTTCCAATCGCCCCTTGATATACCTGACGTCCTCTACGCTTGCTGACACATTGGTGTCTTGGTGGCTGACAGGGTAATCGGGTCGCAGATGCGAACTCGGGAGAGCTTGTATAATGGAATGGAAGCTATTCGGAGCTGCTGTTCCCCGTTTTATAGCGACAGAATCTACCCTAGCGCCCCGATTGATGAGCATTTGTATTCCAGGGGATCCATGAGTTCCCCAGTAGGCTTTCATGGAGCAATGTCCATATGTAGTCGCCCGTGTCAGATTCAGCACCCATGGTGGGATCGGCCCCTTCGTGCAATAACAGTGTAGCAACATCAAAATTATTTATTGCAATCGCACACTGGAGAGGGGTGTATCCTGCGAGGTTGACTTGCTACACGCGTCGTTCGGCCTTTCCAATCCCGTGTCATGGCAAGGCAGTGCAGCACTGTGTGGCCATCATCATCCACAGCACCGAGATGGAAAGTTGACTTGTCAAGTAGGACGGGGACACGGTCAACATTCTCCGATCGTGCTGCCCAGTGCAAGGCTGTGCGGTTCCGTGATGGTGACAGGACCCCGTTGATCCCAGGAAGCGTGATTAGGAACTCGCAAATGCTCGCCTGGCCCTTTTCAAGTACCCGTAGAAAAGCCGTCTTCCTCAGCTCGAATGCTGCGTCAGGAGTCGGGCCATGCCACATGACTAGTTGACGAACAACATCGACATGCCCATTTGCGATGGCAAGGCCTAGAGCATCCGTACCATCCCCTAATTGTGCGTGAATGTTGGTTGATTCCAGGTTGGTTGAGAAGATGGCGCAACAACTTCGTATGCCCCTTGTGGCATACCATGTGCAATGCCGACCAGCCCCTGCTAGTTGTGTGATTGACACTTACTGTGGGTTGTTGGAGGAGCAGATGAACAGATTAACATGGAAAGGTTGGAAAGATAAAAGATACAACACGTCTCAAGATGTCTGTCTCCTCTGCCGGCGCCAGGTACCTGCCTGCCTAGGTGCCTAGTACTTAGACCTAGGTACTTAAGTAGGTGGGTACTTGGGTGTATAGTAACTGGGAGCGTCGTCAAGTACCTAGGTACCCGGGAACTTTGAAGCGTCTTGTATACGCGAATCCTGATTCCCGGTAGTCGGTACTCCTGACATACGTCAAGGCCCATCGGTAAAGTCCCTTGGCGCGTAGAGATGAAGTGGTGTTCGCCAGAATTATAGAAATCGAACACGTCTTAACCTACACAGGTTGCACCCCTATCGTCCGTTGAAATCTCTACATGGCCGTTTGCGTGCTGCCTCGTCGTCTCTAATTTCCTAAAACTTCCCACATGACCGACCGCATTATTCAATGCCTCTTTCGCCTGATACGTGATATCCCGTCTGAGTCACAGTACGGCGTGCGCAGGGGTATACTTTATTCCCAAGTTCCCAACCCCTCGTCCAGTCCACTCAGTAACTGCCCCTCCACATGCATCCCCTCAGAGCAGATAAGGCTCCAACGAGGTCTCGGACAGGGATTATAGCGAATTAAAAGCCCACATTTTAAGGGTACATAAATTTCCTAGGCAAAAGCACTCAAGTACTGCTGAAGAGATACGCAGCGTTCGTCTCTTTCCCAACCTTGGTCCATGATCTATGCTCAGATGAGCTACTTTGCCTCTCGTTCATTTACTATTGCACGGCTTTGCGAATCCCCTCAGAGCAGATAAGGCTCTAATAAGGTCTCGGATAGGGATTATAGCGAATTAAAAGCCTACATTTTAAGGGTACATAAATTTCCTAGGAATTTTTACTATGATAAAAGTACTAATAATCCTTTAAGTTATAAAGGGCTATATTATAAGTCTTATAGCTTTAACGCGATTAAAAAGCTACCTAATAGTAATTAAAAGTATTATAAGATAAAGGCCTAAGAGGTATTTAAGCGCTTTTTAAGCGAAGCTCTTTAAAGTACTAACCTTAATAAGCTAAGTAACGTGATTTTTTTCCTCTTTTAATAAATTTATGCTATAATATAAGCATAAATTTATTATTATAACGCGCACACGAAGTTACCTA